TGTGCATTATATAGGGAACTTTATGTATTCATTTCCCAAGAATAACTAACATGAAAATGATCTCTTAACCTGGTTGAAGGACACAGAGGTGTATACTTATAGTCATGGGATTTGGGGAGGAGAAAGCTGGGACAAGCTTCACTGCCTGCTCTTAGGGCATGATATCTCATTTATAAGAGAGCTATGAGGAAGAGGTATTGTAACACAGTGTTCCTCAACCTTGGCAGCTTGAAGATGTGTGGACTTCAACGTGCTGGCTGGGGAATTCTGGGAGTTGAAGTCCACACATCTTCAAGCTGCCAAGATTGATGAACACTATTGTAACAGTCCTGGCTGTCCTATTGCTCTTTGTCTCTCTTTTGCCTTTTGGGTTATCTGCTCTTCCCAACTCAGCTGCTCTCTATAGAAGGATCACAAGATAAAGAAACCTTGGAGATCATCTACTCTAAGCCCCTGCCTAGGCAGGTATCTAGAACTAACAGCATCTCTGACTGATGACCATCCAGCTTCTGAGGAAGAATCCCATCACCAACACACAAAGTAGCCCACTGCTGAACAGCTCTTACTGTTAGGATTTAAAAAAAATAATATGATGCCCCACCCAAATCTACCCTCTTGTAATATAAACCCATTGCTTCTTGTGCTGTCTTTTGTAACAACTCTGAACAATTCTAAATGGTATTTCGGTTGCTTGACTATATACATTGAAAAAGATAGTCATCATGCCTTGCCACAATGTTTTCTTCTCCAGAATGCTTCCAATCATTTCTTGCAAGTTTTCTTTTATTCCAGCCCCCTTATCATTTTAACTGTTTTCCTCTAGACATACTCCCATCTGTCATGTTCCTCCCTAAAATCTGGTGGCCGGAATTGGACCCAACATTTTAGGTAGTGTCTGAGCACTGCAGAATAGAGTGAAATAATAATTTATCTTTAACCTGACATTGTACTTCTTTGATGCAGCCTAACACTTGCCTTTTCCTTGCAGCTACATCATATGGTTGGCTCACATTCACCTGCTGATCAATCAAGACACCCAGTTCTTAATTGCATTACTACTGCCCAGTAGGATCCCCCCCCCCATTTTATACTCATAACTTTGATTCTTCCCAGCCAAATATAGAACTTTGCATATGTCCTTGTTGAAATTCTTCTTGCTGGTTTCTGCCCATTGTTCCAGTTTGTCAAGATCCTTCAGAACCTTGACACTCTCATCTAAGGATTGCAATCCCTCTATCATCTGCAAATTTGATAACCAAGTTTTTTGATTTCTCATCCAAGTTATCTATAAATATTTGAATAATATAACCTAGAATTGAACCCTGTAGTATACCATTTGATACTTCCTTCCAGCTTGACATAGAGATACTGATACAGTTGTTCAACCACTATGAATCTGTCTAATGGTATAATTGCCCAGCCCACATTTTGCCATATTCTGTACTAAACCTTCAGGGGAGTCTTTGCTGAATGTGGATGTTTAACTCTTACAATTCTCATCAATATCCATGCTGGCCGGGGAAGGGGACCCAGGTTATGAAAGGATCAAGTAAAGTTTGGTCATAAGGTCTAAGTCTTGGGCATAAGTGTTCTTTCTTCTCTTCTTGTTTCATTTCCCTCCAAGACTTCTGATTTCAGATAAACCATATTATATCTGAACAGAGATCTATAGGTTGTATTTGTCCTTCCAGTCAGAACTGGAAATTGATTTCCAGTACTCTAACTGAATGGTTGACAATTTGGGGAAATAATAAATAATAAAAAATAATATCAAACTGGGTTATGCCTGAACAAAGAACTCACAGAGAAAATCCATAAAAGGAAACTCAGATCATGGACTAACTTTGTTTTGGCATTATATGAAAAGTATATGCAATAGATTAAAACAAAATATTAATATTCAACTTCAAGTTAAACTTGTTGCTTTAGCTGTTTTCCCTTTTTTAGATTCATGGAGAATCTATAGTCAGGGTTATGGAAGCAAAACCTAATTTATCGTGTGATAACTAACACATGCATTGCAGACCACAGAGGCAGGACTGGCTGCTACAAACATTGTAAGGTCAGCAGGCTTGTATAGTCAGCACCCTTTTATACCCTTTCTAATCAATAGGCTTCAGTAGCTTGGATGGTCGCAAGTCTTCCAACTCTTTTGTTATTCCGCTGCATTGCAAAGCAAAATCTAGAAAAGGATAACCAAAACTTATTAAGAGAATCACAGCACTTTAATTAATCCTTTGCAGTGACCACTGTCATAGAAAAAAAGGGTCAGCAGTTTTTAACCAGGCTTCAGTCTTTCTTCATTAAAAATGGCCATACTGACAAGTATTCTATTTTGAACATTATGGACCTCTCTTTTATCTCCTTTTCATGAATTTATTTCATTAGAATAATTTATCTGAAAAGTTCTGGAATTTAACAATTCTTTGATGCTGTAGTATTTTAGATTCCTGTCTCTGAAGCCAATGGAAATATTTAGACATGATTCTAAACCTGTTGGGGTTAGAGCTGCGACTAAAAATACGAAAGTAAACCTGTAGAGTAAACAAGATGAAGGAGGGATCTGAGGTGACCTCCTGCCAATTGCAGAGCTCTCTGCTATCTCCTTGACTCAGTTGAGGAACCTAAACTGTAGAGCAAATATGTTGGAGTTTCTATTTAGTTCAGGACAGAATAATAAATATTGCTTTGGAAAACACAACTTGCTAATTCTCTTCTGAGCTTCATCTCACCCACTGATCCCTCCAGACCACATTTTATATTCCAGGGACATACGTGGTTACTACAAACTATGCAAATGTTAGCTTCTCAGGAACTCACATCCTCTTAGTATAGATCTTTTGAGAACCCAATTGAAAGTAGCTTGTGTCACCCTTTGAAGTAGCCCAGATCAGGAAACAGACTCCACAGGAAGACTAGATCTACTGTATATTTTATTGAGATAGGCTATAATAACAGAATCTTGCAAGTCTGATTGTGCTTCTCCTCCCCTCCCTTTTATACCTCAGTGAGTCAGGGATGAGTCAGCCTGAGTGTCTTCTTAATACTATCTCCCTTCACAGGACTTAAAAAATGTCCCATCCTCTTTGTTTACGTAACGGGTTCTGAATAATTGCCTCAAGGCTGTCTCCCTTGATCTCTATACTATGTCAGTTCATGGATGATTTAGATAAAAGAAGTATGCATTCTTATTGGATTTGAGAATTTCTTTCTCATCAGTCACATAGGAAGCAATACACGTCTGTACTGCACTCTGTAGGCTTTTTCAGACCACTGAGGTCAAAATATGTAATCCAACCTTTCTCAACTTGGCACCCTCCAGATGTGCAGCCAATATAATTGAAAGATAATAGGTAATCCGTTGTGTCTGGAGATACATGGTAAGTAGTAAATTACACTGTTCTTAATTTCCCTTTCTCTCTCATTTAAATGATCAAGCATTCCACTTTAGAAACAGGTAATTACTTGAAGCAGGGTTGTTTGACTCCTGCTTCAGAGTTATACAAGTTATTGCAACTTAATATTAAGGCACACACAGCCACATCATGCAAGCTCCCTCATGCATCCTGCTCATGCCCTGAGCATGAGACCAGAGGCACTCTATTAAATTGAGGTCCTATGCAAATGGAGGCAATATGGCTAGCATTCCCATAATTGGTTATGTGTTGTGGCCAGATGTTGCTTAACAGGTGCTACTGGGCTAGTTGGTTATACTATTAGATTGCTAATACTGCTACAATTTTTCCCCTAAGTCAAAAGGACCACTTTTGTCAGCCCCACTATAGGATGTTGGCAGCTGTGGTGATTTCTCCCCCATAGTACTGGGCTCTCAGTTATCCACCCTTAACAAGAAGATATGGCAGGAATTTGCAGTTAGTCATCTCACATTTCTAAATGTGTGCTGAAAAGAAAATTGCTAAAATTCTTCATATCACAATGCTTTCAGGCAGAATGACAGATTAAATATTTCCTTTCTACTACGTGCAGTTTTAGCTCTATATCTTTTCCAAAGTCTACTGCAGCACATTAGATCTGCATTATTAAACCATTTTACTTTTATAAAGTCTATATGAATTTGCATAGGCAAACTCTCAGAGAATTCTTCAAACGTTTTGCATATTTGGTCCTTCAAAACTTAATGTCCAATAATTAGCATACCCAATCAGACAAAACATTTTGCCTTGTAGTTTAGCTCTCTTGCAAATTTATTTCCCCCAAACTGAATTTTGTTACAAACAAAGATGGCTCCTGATACCTACTCTAGAGCTATAGTGTAAGAGACAGAATCACATGGCCAGTGACCCCTTCATCCATCCACCCAAATTAGCTTTCCAAGCTCATGATTGTCCTCCTTGCTTTAATAGACGAGAGAAGGCAGACTTCAAAGTCCCAAATAATGAGCTTCAAAAGTCTGTATGGAAAAAAAAATCTGTCTAGAATGTAAGCAATTGATTGGAGGTATGGATTTCACTGATGCATTAGTGAAACATTTGTTTTACAGTGGCATTTGTTGTACGCAAAACAAATTGTGACCGAGCTCACATAGAAGATGTTGGGAAATGGTTACTAGATTTTAACACTATTACAGCAGCTGAGGGATTATGCAACTGAACATATTGTGCTTGCTGTTATGGGAAGGCTTCTGCCTGGTATTCTCTGCCAGCATGCTAGATCTGTATTCAGGGAAATTTTCTTCTACGGGGAAAAATCTGTCCATATAATCCTGCTCCTTTAATCTGAAATTATGCCACCCAGGAACACTTTTATCACCTCATTTATTGCTCATATAATGACTTAAGCCTAATAACGTGGATATCACAAAATATTTATTCAGGCAGTGCAACCCACAAGTTGTGCCACAACTTCTTTTCAACTCTAGCTCCCTGCTCTATGTATTCACGTACACATGGGTGTGTATAAAGGTAGGCTCTTATATGTTCTAAATCATCTTGCTCGAAGTAATTACATGTAAACAAGTTAATTTCTCCAGGCATCCTTACTTTATATCCTCATCGTAGGCAAAGACAATGATAGCCCTGGCTCTGGGAGTATCTAGAAGCAGCTTGATAATTTTATCAAATTCGTAGGTCTTGTTTTTGCGATCCTGTGGGATTTTCAATGACTGGGCAATGCAGAGATCACCTGTTAACAGAAAAAAAAAGAAGACAATATGCTAAAATCTGTAAATCAGAAAAAAAGAAGAAAGAAAACTGGGGGGGAAAAAGTAGTTAGAGGGAAGATAGATTTAAAAAAAATGAAAAATGGACTTTGGCCTAGTTTGGTACAGGGGATGTGACTCCAAAACGTCTACATGTCCAAGAAGATTTCTGGACTTTCATAATTAAATCAATTGAGAGTGTCTGATTACCCCTCACTTGGCTTAGAATTCATCAGAAACAAAAAGAAAGCACTTAGAAAACTTTAAAAATGCAGTAGAAATAATTGGACTGAACCCAGAATTAGATTTTTATTACATTTCTCATATGTTATCCCAATTGAGTCCTTAGTGGATGCCTCACAAAATCTAAAAAAAAAAAATCCTTCTAAGTATAAATGAATGCATTTCTAGGTCTTCTATCTTTGGTTTTATTCACTGCTTGGATGTTCTCCATGAACATCACAGCATAGATTTGGTCCATCATATCCACCGTCACAGAATAATAAAGAGGGGAGTCCAGGACCCATCAAGAGAACCTGATCTTTTCAGTGTCATCTGGAGCCTCTGCAGTTGATTCTAGATAGTTTGTTCCCAAGTGCCCTCTTATGACAGACTATAAATCCCCACAGAGTTAGGTCAGTTTCCATCTCATAGAAACCAGTTGTCTACTCTGCCTGGGATGACAAAACTTGGACTATAACTCTTTAGAAACTTTTCCTGTCATGAAATTGCAATATGAGAAGTATTGTGCTTTCAAAGAGGAACGTATGTATTGTTTTCATGAAAGTCAAACTTAAGTATAATGCAAAGGAAACAGGCTCTCCACATAAAATTCTGCTCCGGGAGGACTGCCTCCAGGAAATTTAATTCTTTGTATGCAATAGCTAATATCCTTTGGGTTGATATACCTTTTCCCTATTGGACTGGTCATTTATACATCAGCAATGAGAGCGAAAGAGATTGCATTTAAAAAAAGAGTATATAGATTTTCATATATCCATAGATATAGATTTAGAAAATATTACAGTACTTTACCTAGAATGCAATGTGCTTTAACAGAGTGAAAAAGATTATGATCTATCAGTATGCTCAGCTAAAAATGTGGAACTTTAAGTCCTTGTTCTGCTTTGTTTCTGTTTCATCTAGACTTGGATTAGAAATCTTTGAAACAGCTGGCTGTTCTCTGAGCACCTTGCAAATAAAGAGACCAGTCCCTTGATAAGACATATACCTACTCCCTTCCCACCTTTGTAAATCGTTTTGGAAAAAAATAGTATGCTAGTGAAATACTGCAATTGTTTTTTTAAAAAAGCTTTGAACAGAGAATCTAGGTACTTTATTTGGGGCAGGTGCTCAGAAAAACAAACAGCAGTAGTATTTATAGTCTTAGGGTTATTATCTTAAACCACAAACTGGTATAAATCCTTATTATTTCATGTGTTCAAGCAGTACAACTGACTCAGAAAATCCAGGTTCCAGACCCATCTCATTGTCTTCTATTGGGACAGTCACAACCCTTAGGCTAATTATCTCAAGAGGTTCTTTTGAACAGAAGAGCACTTCCCCCCGGAACATCCATTGTCTGCGGTCTTCCACAGGTACTCAAGTTAATTTTCTTCTCAGCAGCCCAGAACTTCAAATCACAAACCTTCCATTTTGTAATTGGAGATACTTGAGCCCCATGAGGATTCAGGGTCGATAGCCTTCCTTTTGATGGGACCTCATTTCAATGCCTATTTCCCAGTTCCATGACCCTCCCCAGTCCCCTTGGCTGCTATGTTTCTGGAGAGCCATGGCTTTTGGTACTCAGACTGGTTTCTGTATTTTTCTTGCCACAAACTAATCAGTGAAACAGAGATTATGAGAGTGCAGGCTGGAGGATGATTTCTGTGCCACTTTATTGCTCAGATGATGGAAATGCGGGTTAACTCAGGCTATTTGCACAGTGGCTATAGTATGCACAATTGGAGGGTACTGAGAGAATGCCTCTGAGAGTTTGGGGGTGCCCACAGAGGCATGTGGACAAGTTCTAAAAATAGGTGGGACAAAATCATCTATGCCATTCTGAGAAGAGTTTACATACAATAACATAAATACAAAATAAATGAATAACCACCTCTGATCCTACTTTTACAAAACTTTAGTATATTAATCTAATATTGGATGGATACTTTAACTTGTCTGTATTTTTGCAGAACTGTACAGGTAACATTCTGCAACAATTACATATTTCTCTTTCAGAACCCTGTCATTAATTTTGAGAGAAATCACCATTTGATGAACTTTGCAAATGTTTTCATTTCTACTTATTAATACATTGGATTCTATTCTAATGGCTTGATGGATGCAACCAGGAAACATTTGGACTGTAACATAAGGCTTATTAATAACACAGCTAAGATGTAAGATAACTACAACACCTTACTGTTGAGTCTCTGCTCAACGGGTATGGTGTTAAAGCATCAGAGTGATCTATAAAAGGAGGGGAGGGAATATAGCGAAAATCCATTTCCCCAAACAATATTGGGAAAATTGCCTGACTTTATAGTTACTACTTTTCCCTGTGGCTCGAGTCTCTTTGGCAGACAGATCCAATTGCTTCTGAATTGGTCTAGACATTTATATTCCCAGCACTCTCCCTCTCCCTGCCTGTACTTACAGGTACCAGAGACACAAAAACATTTAACCTGAAATGTCCCAGAACAGGCAACTAAAGCATAAAAATGCAGTGAGACTTCCCTCACATGATTATCCTGGCAAATAAGGTGTATTCTTGAGTACAGCTGAGGGCTTTGCAGTAGGACAATGCCATTATCAATCAACAATAGTACAGCACCATCACTGTGGAGTGCACATTGCAAAATGTCAGAGGACAGCTTATAAAAAGTAGTGATACGGGGAAGGAGGGGAAGGACAAGGAGGAGGAGGGGCAGGTGAAGGAAGCATGTATCAGTTGGTGGTACCATTTGATCCAAATAAATTAGAGACATAGGGAGAAAATGACGGAACTCCATTTAATAGAGGCAAATGCAAAGTACTTGTCCAAAGATTGTGGGAAAAAATGCCAAGATTATGGGGAAAAAAACCACAATCCTGTGCATAGGCATGAAATATCTGTCTAAGGAATATGTGTGAAAATAATCTTGGAACTGTATTTAAAAATGAACCCACAGAATGATGTGGCTACCAAAAAGGCAAATGCAATATTGGGTTGCTTGGAAGAAGTATAGTTTCCAATTTAAAGAAAGAAATAGTCTGCATTGGTCAGAACTCACCTGAAGCACAGTGCCAGTTTTGGGCACTGCATTTTAAAAAAAATTCAGAGAAACTGGAAAAGGTATGAAGAAGGCTGATGAGAATGTTCAGAGGACTAGAAATTAAGTCCAGCAAGGAGTGTTTAAGGAAATTAGTGTGTTCTACCTTGAGATTAGGCGACTATGGGGTGGAGATGATACAGCTCCTCACAAAGGAATCACAGAATAAATTCTCTGCCATAAGAGTAGATGACATGGACTAAGGGGAGGCAAATTCCAATTAAATGCTAGGAGAACACTTCCAACAGTAGGAGCAGTTTGGCAGAGAACCAATCACCAAGTGAGATGATAAGTTCTCCTTCAAGCACAGGCTGGACAACCATTTGTCAAGGAAGCTTTAATTTGGATTCCTGCAATAAATCTCTACAGAAACTACTGAAATTTTTCTTCTGTTTTTATATTTTTGATGCCCACAATATCACAAAAAATTTTGTCCCATGCCTGAAAAGGTTGTTGACCCTAATTTATACTATAATGAAACTGTCAGGGTCATTACTGTATGTTAAGAGTACCTGATTTAAGCAATATAGATAAAAGAAATATGAATTGATGGACACATGTTTACAGGGGGTTTCTTTTCCATGCATTTTTAATTGTGTGGCTGATGCACAATTAATTTGTCCTCAATTTTTTTGTTTCCAGCTCATCTGATGAAGTAAACTGGTGAATCACATAACACGCTCTAGTGTTCTAAGAGGTCCACTACTTTGTCATTATCAGAAAGGTTTAGATATTTGTCATGATATCACTTTTAAAGAAAAATGGTTAACAAGGAAAACTAACTACTTATAGCAGAAGTTTAAAAATGTACACTGGATGCACAATGGAATATCACAGCCAAACTTTCATCTGCACAATTCTCAAGTCAAAAATTAAAACAAATTTTCAAAAAAAAAGTTGCTTAAATTCTTTTCAGTGGATGCAGATTTGATCAACTTTGACATCACTGCTGCTGTATAAAGCCATTCTGTAGTATTAATGAACTATGCAACTGAGTTAGCATTACCTTTGAATTTGCTTTTCAGTTTAATATCAGACTTTCTGCAATCTGTCTATCTTACTCTCTTCTTCCCCTCTCCCATACTGTATAGACAACTTCAAAATACCCCAGGCATTTTGGGGTACTATTAGCAAAATAAATAAATAATGCAACTTGCTCCATCTTCCTGCCCACTCAAAAAGAAATTACTGCATTTTATGTTGTTGTTGTTGTTGTTGTTATTATTATTATTATTATTTAAATTTATATGCCGTCCATCTCCCCCAAAGTATTAAGTTTAGTAACACAGTCAGTACTATTCAATGGTATATGACTGATGAAGGAAAAAAAAACCCCTGCCCTTCTTTTCTCATAAATCGTGGACTCAAATTATAGTTTTTGATAAAACTGCTTACTTTAAATCAGGGATCAAAATGATTGGAGATGGATGCAACCAAGTATCTTTTACTGGCATACACAGGTGACAGTGATCACTAGACCCCCCACCAAAGAACTGCAGAAGAGCCCCAAACAAGCAAGGTTACAGGTTACCTACATTTGGGTTGTTACATAGGAAAGATATTGTAAATCATAGTGTGACCTCTACATGGGAACACCTTTGATAAAACATTGGGGATAATCTTACTATGGCACCCCTGCATTCCTCCATACTATCAAGATTCTCCAAGTG